AAAGGGAATAAAATAAGTTCCTAAAAATTACATGAAATTAAAAAAAAAACAAAATAACTTGAATCATAAATTGAAAAAATTAAAATATATTTGATAAAGAAAACAATCAAAATTAAAAAAAAAAAACAAAAATGGTGCTAAATCTTAAATGAAATAAAAAAAAATTTTCTTTTTAAAACAATAAAGTCTAGAAATTAAAAGAAAATTAAATTAAAAAAAAAATAAAAATGAAAAGAAAGAAAAAAATATTAACATCTCAAAGTTAAAAGGAATTAAAAAAACATATATTTCTTGNTTAAAAAAAAAAAAAAATTTTTTTTTTTAACAATAAAATCAAAAAACTAACAAAAAGAAAAAATCCTCTGCCAGAGAACTCAAACCTCCGATCTCTCGAATGGCACGGCACTGCCTTGCTCGCTCGGCTTTTACGACTGTCAAAAGAGGTTTTCACCATGAAATTTGTCAAGGTATTTTTTTTGTAAGACTTCCATGTCAGAATAAACAAAATCTTTCAATCTATGTTGCCTACTGCCTCTAAGTTGTCTTACAAAACACTTTCAACTGTCTAAGCCAGAATTTTCTAAGAAATATACGAGTCAAGTTCAAAAGTCGGTAATCAAATACTTGACCCACCCTGTATATGGCTTGGCTTTCTTGCTCAGAAAAATAACTTGTATCCAAAAAGTCTCCTACTTTACAAACTTCTCTCGTTTAAGCGACTTCTCTTCTGCCTCTCGGCTATAGCTAATTTCCTACTCACGAAATCAACTTTTCCAGAGGAGCTTAAATTTTAAGACTTTTTTAAGTAACTTTTTAACCAACTTTTTTTGATTTTCTTTAAATAGATATTTAAGCTTTTGTTTTACCTTTACTGGTTTAAATTGCTGTATTACTCTTATCATGCATTCAATTTTTGACTCACTTTGTATTCGCCCGCTTTCTTTCGCAGCTCAACGACTTCCTTGAACCACAAATCCAGGTTCGGTTGCGAACGTGGCGGTGCAGTGCCATTTAACAGCACCTCCTGCTCCTGTTGCTTATTGTCCACACCATCGCCCTTGCCCTTGGCCTCTTCGAAGCCGAAATTCTCCTTCTTGGTGATAAAGTGATTGGCTCGTTCCTGATCGAATGCTTGCGAGAATGGCCGTATAGTCGTTTTTCGTTCGACCTTCTCCACAATGGTCACTTGTCTGCACATTTTTTTTTATTATTTCAATTTCATTATTTTTTTATTTTATTTATTTTTTATTTTAATTTTAAATAATTTGTGCCGTTTGTTGATCAGGTGCAATCAAGCATGCCACAATTTTTTGCAATTGCCATTTGTCATTTCCAATTCGGTGGTGGTTGGTGGTGATGATGATTTTTAGGTCGCATAAAACAGAAGGGTGCGCCGAGTTTTTATATTTTCAGATTTTTTTTTGATTTTTTTTTTCAATTTCGTTGAGCATTTATTTGAAAGCAATGTGCAAATTGTGAATTGCAAGCCAAGTCCACCATGCAATACGCGGTTAAGGTTGTATTGTTGTTTGAGTTAGTTTTTGTTGTTGTTATTGTTTCAATTTTGTGTTGGCATTTGGCATAGTTAAAGGTGTACGAGTTATTCGATCGATGTACAGAAATATGTGTGTGCGTATGTGTATGTGTGTGTGTATGTACGAAGCGGCGGTAATCGCACAACGAGCAGCGGAAATGACAAATTCGAAAAGAAGTACAAAGAGAAAAATGATTTTAAAATTTCATATGTTACCAAGAGCGCTGTAGGAATGGACAGAGAAAAAGGTAATGGAATGAATGATGGTGAAGGCGATGATGGTGATGGTAAAGGTGCCTACATACAGGCAAACGTAGTTAGATGATAGTAAAGGTGTGGAAGGATATGGGGCTGAGGTACCGACTGAGGTATGATTGAGCAGCGGATGTTGGATAAAATTACATTTTTTTGCTACTTTCATGTTTTCTTTTTTGTCCTCAACACATCCCTTGCTGTCGCTAAGTGAGGAATTTGAACTCAAAAAACTATATGGAACATAGAAAAAATTCAATTTGCAATGCAACTCTATGAATGTACATATGTAAGTGAGTGCATGAGTTCGAAGAATAAAGAAAATTTGAAATGTACCAAAAATAGGATAAACTAAAAAAAAAAATAAAATGAACGTGAAGAACAAGAAAAACTGTGTTTGAAAATATGAAATAATTTTTGCATACTTTTCATGTGGTTTGCTTTCTTCGGCATCGCTAACCAGCGGCTCCAACTCATGTAGTGTAGCTGAAAGCACATAAAAAATTTTATTTTTGCTCCATTTCATTTCAAAGACATTTTCATTTATCAACAAGTAGTTTGACAATAAGTTTAGTGTGGTTTGGTTTCGTAATGTAGTAAGTAGGTACTATGTAGCAGAAAAAGTACAAAAAAAATATTAAAGTTATAAGTTGCTAGAATTAATTTTTAATTTTTTTTCATTATCAATAAATTACTACAAAAAAAAATTAATAAGGGTATAGAAGTCTAAATAAGTAAATTCATTTGAATGTGATGTATTTAGGTGAAAATAAAGGATTTTTTTTCGATCGGAGAAAATTATGTCGCTTAGCACATAGATTTGTATGAGTAAATAAAATTTTTTTTAAATATTATTTCTTAGTAGATATGTGATTAACTAACTGAAAGAGGTGACCAGCATAAATTTTTTTTTGTACAAAAATTTAGTAAAATAAATATATGTGTCGCTGTATGCCCTACGGCTTTTGCCTTTAATATATGTAACTTCGGCAGAATTCTCGGAACTATCAAGCGAGCGTTCAATTATTTGGAATATCATCATCATCATTTTACTACTTGAATCAGATTTTTAAGTGGTATTCTTACAGTTTCAAGCATTTTCATTGATCCTATAAAATTTGTGTTACATCGAAAGGAAAGAACTCATTAGGTTTGTTCCACATGAGCCACACGAGAAAAATGGGTAACAGTGAGCGAATAGCTTCCACTCGTGGATCGTAAATGTCTTCTTCTTCGTGCCCGAAATAGCCCGGACTTTTTTTTCGCAAAATATTTTAAGCCTATTTGAAAATATTAAAATTATTCCATCCCATCACTCTGGCAGTAAGGATCAGATGTAAATATTAGTCTTACCGCGGGAATGCCGAATGGACTTTGACCACCAAAAGCGAGAACTGTATTTATACTACGAGTTTCCTTTGACTGCCACCTATTCATGCTGGTCCACAATGACCTGGACATTTCGCATATCAGCGATATCGTTCAACGTTCGCTGAGCTGACATGGGGTCCATTTGCTTAAAAGTGAACCGAAGAAGGTCAGTGGCGCTCCCAACCTCTACCAGATAGGTGATCTTTATTCAGAGATTGTTTCTATTTCTTGCCAACTCGTCCGCCTTGCAGTTTACGAAAATGCTGCTTTGCCGACGCACTAGAGAGAAAGGCCAAGCCCTACTTAATTGAACGCAAAACCCTGAGAGAGTAGATGCTTTTGTAACAGCTATTATACTTCTTCTTTAATGACAGCCACTTTTTTATTTAAAATCCTTCAGCTTTCAGCTAATGTAAGGCATTCCTACGAATAATTGTTGTCCATTTTGGATCAGTTGGGCCTACTATTTAAGTTAAGAGGGATTATGCTCAAAATGTCGTTCAGCGTCAGAGTAGTAGTGGCTGCTTTGATAGGCTACAAATTTTGACAGCCAAAAACACAGCAACATTCTGCTGGATATCAGGCCATTGCGGAAATGAAGGAAATGAGTTCGCCGACGATTTTGCACGAGAAGGATTGTTAACTACCATTTCGGGACCTGAAACAATTCGTAGCCTCAGTTGGTCCTCTTCGAGAGACATAATTACTGAGTGAGTACACTCTGAACACAGTTAGTACTGAGGAGCGGTGGATGGGCATAGACAGGCCAGGCTATTCGGCTACCCTTTCCACAGAATTTTCTGGGCACCTAACTGAGTACAACTGACTGCGATTCTACTTGCACCAAATCACAAAGTCGGAATGCCGGTTCTGCCTTGAAGATAATGAAATTTCAGGACATTTTTCTCTGTTACTGTCCGGCTTTAGCCAGACGAGGATTAATATATCTTAAAGCTCCAATGTTCGACCCCTTTCTTATAAAGAATTTGCCTATCAAGACCATTTTAGGTTTCATTAGGGAAGTCGAAGGTATCTTGGGCATACTGAGTTAGGGCTCTCTCTTTAAGATATAAATACAAAGGATATTTCAGAGAGTAGTGTCTCTTGTTCTGTTATACCCAAACACAACCTGACTAACTAAGGTAACTTTAGGACAGATCCTAAAGGGTGTCTAGGAATCTACTCTTATCTATAAATGCCCTTGCTTATCTTTATACTAATACTACATAAATTCAGACAACCAGTTATTGGTTCAATTAGCCAAGAAGCAGAACAACATCGATATTTCTAGTATCTCATTTGTGCTAAGCGAAATATATTCTTCGCATAACTTTATGTGATGTAAATAAAGCGAGCAAAGCAACAAAAATTCGAATACCAAAACAAAGTAAATTAAATTCAAACGTAAATATTGGAGGAAAAGGCAGCGTTGAAATGAAATTTTTGCGGCGTGAAAACGAAACAGGAATGAATGTAATAAACAAAACTAGACCAAATACTGTAATATATTCATTTGGGGCCAGTGANTCGAAGGTATCTTGGGCATACTGAGTTAGGGCTCTCTCTTTAAGATATAAATACAAAGGATATTTCAGAGAGTAGTGTCTCTTGTTCTGTTATACCCAAACACAACCTGACTAACTAAGGTAACTTTAGGACAGATCCTAAAGGGTGTCTAGGAATCTACTCTTATCTATAAATGCCCTTGCTTATCTTTATACTAATACTACATAAATTCAGACAACCAGTTATTGGTTCAATTAGCCAAGAAGCAGAACAACATCGATATTTCTAGTATCTCATTTGTGCTAAGCGAAATATTTTCTTCGCAAAACTTTATGTGATGTTAATAAAGCGAGCAAAGCAACAAAAATTCGAATACCAAAACAAAGTAAATTAAATTTAAACTTAAATATTGGAGGAAAAGGCAGCGTTGAAATGAAATTTTTGCGGCGTGAAAACGAAACAGGAATGAATGCAATAAACAAAACTAGACCAAATACTGTAATATATTCATTTGGGGCCAGTGCAGCAGCCGTTGCGAACGTGTGAAGGGTTCAAGGATCTCTTCAAAAGCGCTTAGGTGTGCACTCTTCATTAGTGGCATAATTAATTGGTTGGACAGTTGTATAGGTAATTGGAACTGGCAACACAAAACAAAAAGAAGCAAAAAAAAAACCATTGTTCGTAAATATGTATGTATGTGAATACATATACAAATGTCTGTTAGTATAACTATGCGAATGTTAGTAATGTTGGTTAGTAGTAAATGTGTGTTTGTATGCCGGTGTACNGTATAGGTAATTGGAACTGGCAACACAAAACAAAAAGAAGCAAAAAAAAACATTGTTTGTAAATATGTATGTATGTGAATACATGTACAAATGTCTGTTAGTATAACTATGCGAATGTTAGTAATGTTGGTTAGTACTAAATGTGTGTTTGTATGCCGGTGTGCATGTAGTTGATTGCTTGTTTTTTTATGAGATAGTATTTTTTTTTCTGTAAATGCAGCGCATGAATGTCATTAATATAGAACGAAATTTCATCGAACAAATTAGGCTGAATTGAATTACACGAATAAATTAATGTAGTAAATGTAGCAAGTGTCTTTTGAGGAGAATAAGAAATAATAAAACAAAAAGGAAAAAAAATAAAAACAATCCCAAAATGATGAAAATATAAGTACATAAATGCGAAAGCTTTTGTTGCCAAAGAATTCACCAAATTAGCAGTCATTCTTTTTCACTCAAGCGGGAGAGATTTTTTCACTATTTATTGCGTTTTGCTTAAAAATGCTTTTGAAAAAATATAAAAAAAAGGAAGTAAGCAGCATTTTGTTGGCTAAGTATATAGTAGTTTTCAGCGAAAGCGGCAAAAATTTGGAATTTCAAAGCTCAATTTCACGCAAAATCAGAAAGCTAAGTTAAAGAATTGAAAATTAATATTTTTTAAATATACTTTTTAAACTTTAAAATTGTCTGTCATCTGAGTATACTAACTAAAGCTGATCTGAGCTATTCATAATAGCGTAGTATCCAGATATCTACGTCTATAAGTTTGCGAATTTAACGGGCCTAATGAGAAGTCAAGGACTGTTTTTCCTCTATCTTTTATATAATTTTTCACAGAGATTATACCGGAAAAAAATTAAAACTGATTGAAACTCTGCCATAAATACTGTCATACTGTCATAATTTTAGCAAAGCTATTTACGCGCAAATAAATAGATTTATTCTAAATACCTTTAAATCTAAGTATGTTTGTTTAACACCAATTCTTTTAGTGACCAAAATGTCCGTATAAATTATATTAATGCAAAGCTATAAATTTAAACGACAAGTTTAAACATCGATCGCAAATAATTATAATTTTGAAATGTGCACTCAAACAATCATGCTGAAGCAGAAATGCTAAACAAAGATACCTCTTGTAAGTCGGACTACCTTAACCCTTTTACGCCCAAACAAGAACGGTTGAAATTTTATTATATCTAATTTATTTATGTGATCGTGGAAATCATTTTAAGCAAACTTAAAATTAACGAAAAAAGCTTAAAAGTAAACTTTTGGGAGTTTAGTTTTTTAGTACAGCGGGCACATATGCGTGTTAATTTTTAAAATATTATTAAAGAAGGCATAACGTTTTTTTCATATCCTGTACATTGCCATATTATAACCTCATGACGGAAACACTGTTTATGTACGTGGATACACGTAACCCACCACCATTGCTTGCTATGAATATACATAAATACCTCACATTTTTTTGTAACAGCAATTTGACTACTCTATATCCAAAATAATCCAATGAGCTTCCAATGATTTTTCCACAATATATGTCAAAGAATTAGTAATAATCTTCGGAACTTGCTATCACCCAGTTTTAGTAGCAAAATATAATCGAAATCTCGTTAAGAAATAAATAAATATATATATACAGTTCAGTTCAGGAAAATTACTTCAGAAAGTACCTGACGTTTTTGACAAAAACTCTTAATCATCATGTCACACAGAGGCCAGATTTTGAATATTTTACCGTTGCTATCGAACCCGCATGACGGTAAAACTCCAAAAAATTTATTTTAACTTTTTGAACAGATGAAAACCCCCAATCAACAACCTTTATAAATTAAAATTAATTAAATTCTTAATATAGTGCACCTATATCTGATGACTTCCACAAAAAATTGTTTATTCAAACAAATGAGCAGTAGCACATACTGTTGACTCAGTTTTTCAAGACTTTGTGGACGGTTTCTGGCTTTATCTCACTAATGGCTTGATATTTGCCTTAAGGGCCTGCATCGTTCAAGAACTTTTTTCATAATGTGGTTCCTTCACGGCACACCACAAAAAAAGGCTAACGGCGTTAAACCGTAGCTTCGAGGTGGCGAATTTACATCGCCAAGACGGCTGATAACACATGATTACAATAAAAAAAACTGTATGGACCACACTTAATAAATGTATGTAGATAGTAAACTTATATTATTTTCGAATAGGTGCAACACTAATAAAATATTTTCAAACTAAAGTTTTCTGATAGTGGTCAAACGGTAGTGGTTTTACGGTAACGCACATAAAAAAGAAATATAAAAATACTCTGACAATTTTTTTGGAATCGGTCTAAAAGCAAGTGTTTTTAATAATCGCTGATAACCGTATAAATCGAAGAAAATCGTGCTACCATAAAGACATAATCATCGAAGAGCATTTTCTCAGGATGTGTGGTGGGATGTAGAATAGTCGTAGCTGAGTTATAGGCCGATATGGATGCCGCGACACGCTGACGTCATTCGCAAACGTATAGGCACATAGAACCGTCAAGGAAAGTGTTAATTTTGGATAACGGTTACTCCAAAGTGTATGACAGTATTTAGGCAGAGTTTTACGCAATTATATCTACTATCTAAATATATGTAATCAATTAAGGTCTTTGCATTTATAGCTGCTTCTAACTTCTTCAACCTATGCTAACTAAATATATAGTTATAGTTTTGTATGAAAATGTCTCACCTAACTAAATTTAAATAATTTCGAAATACACAAATGGCAAAAACTTAAACTCATGATGGATGTCAGTCTTAATGCCTTTCCTCACTAATACAAAAACTAATATTGTAAATTAAACAAAAAAAAACCTTAAACGTTCCAAGTAACAGTTCACTAAGGAGAATTTCATTTCTATAAAATCAATAACTCTTCTTTTATCTTATATGTATTTATGTATTCGCATGCTCACACTATATTTCGGCTACATAAAAAAAAAAACGATATTACAAATAAAACATAACAGATTGTAGAGCAGTAAAGGAGATGGAGAGAGGTGGAAAATTTAAAAAGATTCAAAAATACTTGTATCATTAAAAAAAATTTTTTTTAGTTATTTTTCTGTTTGTTTAATAAATTGTTATGCTGTAAACAAAATAACAAAATTTTCTCATTCCATTTCCTTTACTGTCCACTGAATTCAACTGCTTTATGTGTAAATAAAAATAAAGAGAGAATATTTTCAGTATTATAAACACTTCAACACTTACGTCATTCTTTTCGTTTTTTTTTTGTTAACTTTCAACTTACTTTTTGTCAAAAATTTTTGTTTTAGCTATTACTTTTGAAAAAGCATATTCATAGTAAATGCATTAGTTTGCATTCACCTTAATTTCGTTCTATATAAAAAAGGAAACTTTGTAGTAGAGAATTTTTTTTAATAAAATTTTCAATATTTTTCAGTATTTTTGGTTTTATAGATTTCTGTTAAAGAAATTGGCAACATAAATTTTAAAGCAAAAATTAAGTTTACATATCTAAGGAAAAATATTAGAAAAAAATCAAAAATTTAAATTACGATTTACTTAGTATTGCTATTAGTTGCTATATACGTACGTATGAGTATAACTACACAACCAGTTAAAAATGTTAGAAAAATCATGTAATTCGTTTTACGGCTTTAATTGAGGTTTTGAAAATGTTGTAAGCTATTAGTAATTTACTAATTAGAGTGCTGTTTGTTGTGGAAAATACTAAATAAATTTGGAAAATCTATCAAAACAACCGCTTTTACTGATTTAAAAAACATTTTTCTCGGCGTGTAGTTTATCTTAACTTAATTAGAAACTACATATTTTGGTTTTCTCTTTTGTAGCACTAGTATTTTGCTAACAAAATGTGCAAATTTTCATCCTTTGCCTAAAAGTATGCAAACATATTTGAAAGATTTTTAACGACCCTATGCCTGCGCCAGTAATGAAACTCATCGCATGACCTGAGCTGCTGCGCCTAAAAATTTGCCTATGAATAAAAAAATTGTTTCGTTGTTGTACGTAACAATAACATTGCATTATTTTAGACGCAGTAGTCATGCGTTGAATTTTGCATTGGCGTGGTAGCCGGGTCTTACAAAATTTTGCAATTTATTTTTGCATACTTTTAGACACCTCAAATGAAATCCCGCAATAAGCACACTTTGTTATTTGCGCCAAATTTCGAAAATACCAGCATATTTTAAGACGAATTTCGTTTTTGAGCAACAGATTTACGACGACGTGTACATAAAAAACTTGAAAATAATTCAAAATAGTACTTTCCAAAGTAAAACTACTAGCGCGAATATTACACACCATTTGGCTTTAAGAGCCGATTGTAAACTTCAAAACAATTAATAAACGTTTTTCGCTAAAAAAAAAAAACATTAAGAGAAACTATTATTCGCAACAATCACTACTTGTAATTCTTTTATTCCTAAGTTTTCAAACTTGGATTTTACGAAATTTTTTCATTTTAATTCTGTGATGAAAGTGAATGTGCATAAAAGCTTAATTGTATCCCTTCGTGGTAGAACTTTTTCATTTCTTATTTAGTCTCAAACCTCAAGCCTCGTTCTTCCATAACTGTGGAGAGTGTAAACAAAAATTCCAAAATTTGTAAATTGAAATTTCGTTAGCAAAATTTTACTGAGCTTTAAAAGCCAACTATATAGGCAACTATATGTCCCATCAGCAAAGCTCTTGCTAGATCCTTTGGTTCTTTAAACAGAATCCAGCAGACTTTAGAATAAAATCATGGGCTCTAAGCAAAAAAAAAGTTATATTGTCGGTTTAAAAATCGAAAATCCAATATTGTAGGGCACTCTGCTTGCTATTGTGCAAAATGACCTCGGCCAGTCAGTCGCCTTAAAATTAATATAGTCCCCTTCACAAGGAGAAGGGCGACTGATGTTTTGGCTCTCAGTGGTGCCACTACATAAATTTTTTATAATATTATATATTAAGGGGTTACTGGCCCCCAACTAATTTGCAAAGTGGTATGCCTGAACAGGATGCTGTATAGGTACGATGACCATATTTATGGCAGCCGAGTACGGACAAAAAAATAGTTTGCCAATTTTTCCACAAAAGCTAGAGGAGATGGTCCTAGATTTATCAGCCCTGAAACACATCTTTATTTGGCATATATTTATCGACCTTTTATGAAAGCAACACATAAATATTCAGTTTTAATATTCCTAGGCAGGGAAATATTATGAAAATATCCGACTACTTTTGTAGCAACGGACCATTTTCAGACTCGAATTTCGACCAAGCACAATGCAGTGAATAGCATCTGGAACGAGCTGAATTGCAAAGCGTACCTTTGAAGTGTTCCACTTCCCTTAGCCTTCTCATTTGGAGGTTCTCATTTTGAAGATGAAATCCCTCAAATAATTTGTTTGCCGTTGTTTTGCCTATCTGCGAATATCTTCTCTTAAGCCATTAGTTGCGAAGTACATGTGCAAAAATTTCACAAATTGCATAAAGGAAATTTTTGCACATGCAGCATATATTTAGGCACCTGGTATTAGCAGTCGCGCCTAAACTTATGGGATGAGTCTAACTTTTCAGGCTGGATGTATTGCCACACATCACTCCTGAAAGCAGTTACCCAAAAGGTATACGCAATGAAGTTGTTTAAATTGGACCACTAATTTGAGGTGGTATTTTATAGCAATCAAGTTGCGTTAAAAAAAAAATTCGAAGAATTCTGGGGTTTTATTTAATGTGCTTTAGAAAGGGGAGAACCCCATGACTCATCCCAAAGTATTTCTTGAAGATGATCATGGATTGTACGGAAAAGTATAACAAGAAGTATGCACATTCCTGCGATAAAACTCAAAATTACTTCATACTCGTACGATAACCACTTCTTTATAAGACAAAAAAAACACTTACTTTCTTAAATTGGGCTGCCAAAGAGTAATTTAGGTACTTAAAATACGTACACTTTAATACTAGCAAAATTAACAATACTAATCGCTTCGAAGAAAATTTAATGCCATGAACAAAAATAACTAAATTTTGATAGGAAGTTGTGAAAAACTCTAATTTTTCTTCGTGCGTCGCCTAACAAAAGCTTATGAAATTATACTCAGCCATTTTTCACTTTCATCACAGTAATGTTGGCTATTGTTTCTCTCTGCCAAATTTTATAATTACCAAAAAAATTCTATCAACCATTTGTTGACAATCAAACAATCAATTGCCATGACCGCAATGAAAACATAAATAAATTTCACGTTTCAACTAATGCAATTTATCAAATGTAAATTAATTGCTTTTAGTGATGTTAGTAAATTAGTTTAAGAGAATTGAAAAAATTTTTACTTTTTAATTAAAATTTAAATTAATTATTATTACTAGTATTATTATTTGGTTTTGTTTTTTTAATTAGTGATTAATATTTAATAGCGACAATTTAATATTGTCGCACCTTCTTTCTGATTTGTTGTACGTTTTTTATGAACCGTTGGCATTGCCGCCTGTGGGTGTTGCCTTAGATGCAGTTGTTGCTGCTGTTGCTGTTGTTGTTGGCTAGCTTTGAGCGCCCCCATTGATATTGATTTTCTGGGGTGATCCGCCGCATCGCCGGCCTCAATGCCCTTTATTCGTCGGACATTGGGCCAAACGAATTGCAAACGATATTCTGTGCTCAATTTTGAGATGGTCTTTTTGAATAGGCCATTTGACTCACCCGCCTGCAAAAGAGAAGAGCAGAGGAGAGAAATACAAGAACAAGAAGAAGAAATAGAATAAACACCAAAACGAGAACGAGAACGAGAGTAAGAAATATTTAAGTGCAATAAATTGAAAAGCAAAAATGTATATTATTAGTTAAAATAAAGAAATTTGCCAGTATAAAAATTTTAATATACATATTTATTTATATTTTTCCACAATGCAATCACGTTGACGACGACAGCAAGAGTAGCAAAATTGTATTAGCAAAGTAAATGGTAGAAAAATTGTTGGAGAAAAAAGAAAAAAGAGAAAGACAAAATACAAGTATTTTTTGTAAACTTTACATTATTTATGACTAAGTAAATATTTGTTTGTTATAAATAATCCTTTTACAATACATATTTACATAAAATACTCCAGTACTGAATAGGCAATACATAACTTTACATATAAACAATTGTTTTCGTGGCTACAACTGAAATTCATGCAAAATGTTAAAATAATTCCAAAATTTTATCCACATTGAAAACTGACCTATAGTTATGAAAATAGAGTTTTCGTTGCTACTGCTGATCATTTTGTATATATGAATCGGATAACTACCAAAGCAAATAAGTCGGAAATCTGCTGTGTGAGCTTAACACCGACATAGACATAGTGCAGCGAATTAATATAAAGCGGCGTCGCTGGTTTGGTCATGTCGTTTGAATGGACACCGACGCTCCAGAACTGAAAGTAATCAACTTGGTAACCGCTGGTGGTTGCAGGGGAAGAGTGCCAGGAAATAAAAAGTGGAGAAGGACTTGGCTTCACTTAGCATTTGCAAATTTGCGTCAGTTGGCGCAGAACAGAAACGACTGGAATGCTGAATTGTTCCCTTTGGTAATTAACAGATTCGTATGTATGTATAATCATAGTACTTAATCATGAAATTAATGTCGTACTTTTGATTCTAAATTGTATGAAAATGGACTGAATCTTGTGCATACATACATACACATGTTTGGCATAAATCACTTCGCAATAAACATTGGGCTTGGTCAGCAATTCGTAAACGATTGGAAAACTAACATTTTTTCAAGTCTCACCTTCGATAACGAGTGTCGAATAGCTTAGTATTCCATTCGATAACTAGGCCATTCTCCATCGAAACGGAACCCTCGTTATCCCTTCCGTCCAAATGACGGGTTCTTTGAGGTCTTCAAAATAGCGTTTGTTTCAGTGATACGTTCTTCAGGCGACATGAATCTCTTACCGCCCAGCCATTTAGTTTGGTTTGGAAACAGAAAATAGTCGCTAGGCTAAATCTGGTGAATATGGTGGATCGCGTAGGAGTTCGTTGCCTAATTGATGGACTGCACTGTCTTGATGGAACATCACTTTGTTCTTGGCCAAATGTGGTTTATTATGCTGAATAATATTCGTCAGTGATCGGTTTGCCATTTTCAAGATAATCGCTGCGAATGATACCGCTTTGGACTTCTTTGGTGCACTTTTTGATTGCTCCTTGGTCTCTGGTGTGTTATGGTGGATTTATGTTTCACAAAATGTTGCGAAATGGTAAAAAAAAACTCATTCTGATTGAGGCTGAAACATCGCCACACATTCCTTTTGAATGTGAGTAAGCGCGGTAGCCATCGCGATGCTAGCTTTTTCATATCCAAATATTCATGTAAAATATGATCTACCCCTACAGGAGAGATGCTTACAGCGTTAGTCATCTCACACACTTTCACACTCCGATCGTCCAAGAAATTCACAAGGCTGTCTGCTTTCAACGGCTTTAAAGTAAAGTCATTGACTTTTGAAATTTCCCTCGTATAAATGAAAAGGTAAAACATACAGCAAACGAAGAAAGTTCTATATCGAAGCCCAACCGCCAAAACAACGTAAATGAAATTTTCGTTTTTAATTTTCTTGAGAAAGTTGACATTATTCAAGATTTTCTTTTTAAGCATCTATATGCATTTCTTCAAAATAAAAAAAGCCTAAAAAACGTCACTTAAGTTGTTTTTGCGGTTAGATCTCAATAAACACTCCTCATTGATCTTATGTGTGCGAATATTCGTATTGATTTTATTTATAAGAATATCTTTTAAAAATTACTGAGAAAATCTGCTTAATTGCATCGCTTAAAAAGGAAGACTTGATGAAATGTCTTTCGGAATTCAGTGAAAAGTAATTCTCCTTAATTTAATCCTCTTAAATAGAATAGTGTCGATAAAGCGACCACTCTAGCCGACTAGAGTCCGGGTTCGAGGACAACTATATAGCGCAGACTTATATTTTTTCACTTTCTATTTTTAGCTTACAATAAGGTAACCTAATAAAAATCGGCAGAATTCCTTCTTGATTTCATTCAAAAGAAAGTACCACTAAAAATAAGAGTGCTCTCTTCTTGAAAAAAACTCATTGATATGTCTTCTAACTTTTGTTCTGAGTATTTTATTAGGTGGATTCGCTTTAAGCACATAAATACACACCTTTGACTCGATACCTAAGGAGCGGGCAAAGAAAGCCAAGGCGCTCTCGAGCACAATGAAAGGACAAACAGGCAGAAGGACTTATCTACGCTTGGGACGAAAAACTAGCGTAACTTCGCAAAGGATTGAAGCAATTGACAAAGTTACCAGTATTGGGCCAAACCGGCAAACTATTGTAACTATTTATTGTAGAAAAAAAAAAAACAAGAAACAAATTATTTTAAAAAGCAGTAATATCCGACGTTATTCTTATAGCATTTCTAAAGTACCATTTCATCGACTGCAAATTTCATTGCTTTAGCTGTTAGATATATTTTTAAATATAATCCCAATTGATTGAAATGGTAAAGTACTTGGGAAGTTTGCCGAAAGTTCATTACTTAAATAAGTAGGTATACATACATGTGTACGTAAATCAGATGTGTATCATTTAGAAAAGAGGCACTTCAGTATTTTCAAAAGTTAAGGCAAATACCACAAGACATATATCAATATGAAGTACATAGAAAGTAAAAAATTGCATACTATCGCACATTTTAATGTATTTGTGTACATACACATTAATTTAATTAATCATAAAATTAACTGCAAGAAATTGAGAACTAATCGAGTTTTTAAAGGCACTTTTTTACAGTAAGGATTCACATACACACTTTTCCATAAAAAAATTTTATGCGGCGATAATTTATTATTTAATCATGTTTGCAAAAACAAAAGTCTTGATAAGCGGTTTGTTGTTAAGCGTTTTCGTGGTGGATGTAGGACCAGCTTTCGAAAAAAGGCGCAGACAAACAGTAAGGTTTCCAACATTTTCTGAGATGTTTATAGTACTTTTTTTTTAATTGAAAAAATATAGTACACTTCAAACATATATTTTGTTTTATTTAAAAGAAAAAGTAAAAATGCTTTTTAAGTATACATTAGGGCGAAGTAATTTCTTCGGATCGAAATTTTCTAAGAAAATGTATAGCAAATTCAAATTCTACGATTAATTCTGTGCACCATTTTTACTTAAAATCGAGCGTAGAGTTCCAATATTTATGCCGTACACTTTTTAGAAATAAAATTACTCCGCCCTAGTATACATACATCTTTTTTTTACTTATGCAGTCCTTGGCCGTTTTTAACAATTAATTGTTAAATATGCAAGTATCATATGCTCGATATGACCTTTTATTTTAAAAAATATTTCACTTAACATAGTCATTTCAGTATTCCATTTTAATAAGCATTTTTTCTTGCAAACTACTGATATATAATTTTATTTATAACTGAATAAATATTGTATGCAAAAATGCTATATAGTAAATTGCAGTGTTTTTCGAAAGTCTCGTAAAGTTTTGGGTAAACAGCTTTCATTTCCTCCCAAGCGTTAAACAATTTAAATTCGAACTCATTTCATCTTGTGGGTGACCCAAATCATCATCTTTTCGACTTCGTTTGTGTACGAGAGATTCATAATAGGCAAGCATTTCATTACTAAGGCCAATAGTAACGAATTTTTGGAATTAATTTTTTTGAACCTCGGGTCGAGAAAATTTGATGCGGCTAGCAAAAAAGAATGTTCGATGGATGGATTTTAGACAACTGCAGAATTCATATTTCATGGAAATATTTTTACGATTATTCTACAATTAATCGATTAACAATCGATTAAGGAAACACAAAACTACGATAAAATTAAATCGTTAATCGGACAAAAATAATCGAATAATTTAATCAAATGATTAATCGCTGCCACCTCTAGTCAGCACATACAGCTATCAACACATTTTCAGGCTGGATTACGTGTTGGTTTGAATTTTCATTTCATTTATTAGACAGCTTTGCAATGCACTGGCCTTTACAAATAGATATGCACTGAGCAAAAAATCAAGCGGAAACCTTAGTTGAGAGGCACAACTGTAAAGCAGAGAAGAACCATGCATACATACATATATTTGTACACATACATCTGTATAAATATACTATACACATACAAATATCTACTTTAAATCTTTCAATGTGAGCAACCAACCAGTATTGCTTTTATGTAAATTTCTTTTTTTAATACCAATGTATGTATGTATATTTTTTGCCCAATTTCTTTGCCTTCTTAGTGGCGTATGGCAACAAATGACGACGGTAAATCGAACATTGCCAATTGAATGTGTTCGCCTTACATATTTGTGCCATACACATTTTCACATCGAAGTGGTTACGCGCCTAAATGCATGCTTGCAAATGTGTGTCGCTGTTGAGTGTGTCTTAAGGAGATATGAGCATACTTGCCGTCATTTATGGTACTTAATACGAATACATATAGATGTACATACTGTACGTGAGACGGTGCATCAATTGCCACAGTTGCAATGGAGAATAGGAAGGTATTTATTACAAGGACTTGCAACAGATACATTTACATTTAGCAACACTGACAAGAATTTCGCCACTTTATACATATACACATGCAAATGCATTAGGGTGGTCCTTAAAGGTATTAGTATCTAAACTTTGTATGAGGCGACCTTTTATTTTGTTTTACTACGTACAAAATAAAAATAAAGACATCTACGAAAATTTCAAAATTTTAAAATAATTGTATTAGCGGTCGTTACGAGGGCTTTAAACCCGATAACTTGACATAATATTGAAAATTGTTCATTTAAATTCAAAGTCAGCTCTAAATGGATTCATCATGCAATATTAAGCTCCAAAGGTTATTATTTGTTTAAACCTTTTCGGAATAAGTGCAGAGTTCTTCACATTTTTTCTTAGTTCTAAAACGGTGGTTTAAAAAATAAAAGTTATCTTAAAAAAATACTAAGAAACTCATGCAGGAAGAGTTAATATCTACTTACTGAGATCAAAACGAATTTGCTTTTTAATTTTTTATCTGGGTAGTTTTTTTGAGAAAATCGCATGTTTGTGTGGTTTCGGGGTCTAATTTCATTAATAACTAAATTGACAAGCCCGATCAATACCAATCGGTATTTCGTTGAAAAGATAATTAACATACGCGTCAAACGACATACAACTTGTTTTGATCACCTTAAAAAATTTCGTTGAATTTGTGCGATTTAAAAAATTTTAATTTTTTTCAAATCTTAGTAGCGACCCCTAAAAAATATTTAAACAATTTTAAATTTTCGTGGATGTCTTTATTTTGTACGAAATTTCGAGTTGTTGATGATTTTTAAGAACCACCCTAATAAGTGAATTTATGCTTCGTGAAAGTGCAAAGAGATCCCAATGTAGGTACTTTGTATATGTGTGTGTGTAGCTATGCACATACTTAGCCATATTAAGGCCGTATGATAGAAATTGATGCGGCATCGCAAATCTCTCCAATTCAGGTTACGTAAAATATGCAATGAAGTGGAATTTATTTTTTACTTTCCAAATTTTTGTGGTTTTATTGAAATCGAAATTGGATAGAAAGCAGTAGGATTGTTGAAAGGAAATTTAGTTACTAATATTTTAGACGGCAGTGTTTACATGAGAGTGGAAGAAAACTTTCTAAGTAGCAAATATTATACAAAAATAATAATTTAGGATTCATGACGATGAACGTAAGCAACTGTCTTCGTTTAAGTTTTCCTGTGCTTTTCTGTCTGTTAGAAATTTGAAGTTAAGGTGGTGACTGGTCCCGGGAGAAATTTTTTACTGAGCTACGGATATAGAAAGTGCATGTGAGTGTGCAGAAATTGTGCTTTATACTTTCTTCGACATCTCACCTCAAATAGGCGTCTGTCTCATTTGGAACTAAATAATGCAGCCAACTATCCGCAGATGGACAGCTTCTCCAAGAATTAGTAATAATAATAATAATTTGGTGTTTACACTTTTGCTAAGTGTTTGGCCGAGCTTCTTCTCCAGTTTGTGGCATTGCGTTAGACAAATGGAGGGAGCTACAGACTTACGCAGCCTCTGATCGGCAAGTGGGTTTTATGAGAAGCTTTTTCATAGTAGAAATGCATTCGAAAGTTTTTTATTTTTTGCTAAAGAGTGATTGCTGTTAGAAAAAAATAATTTCTAAATTAGATGTTGCTCGGACCAGAGATCGAATCCAGGTCTCACTCAGCTACAGCGGCAGCGAAGTTTTTGGGGGGTTGGAATTATCTTTGGAGAACTTGAAATTACATAAGAAATATACATATATNTACCCCTTTACATATGCGTGAATTTATACATAAATGAATGGATGCTACAAATCATTGATACTATGTTGATTTTTATGTACATAAATAAACTAATATTTACGAAATACATAGCATACATTATTGTTGTTTTGTGGCAAAAAATAAAAACATAAATAGAAATAAATATGTTTAAGTTATAACCAACATGCAAAGTGCCTTCGTATTTGAAGACTTGAGTGTTCTAAATCTATTTCCAGCTCATATGTTGCCAATATTATTTTACATCATTTAAGACAACCAAGTTAATAGATATAGGCCACTCGTACTACATATGAATGCATTTACAAAGCTGCTAAGACAGTCAACATTCAAAGTAAAATTAAAATATTCAACGCTATGTATTTTACAACTCTTGTTTTTGAATACATTTTCACTCACATGCTTGGCAAATGAACATGCGAAAGTCCTTTTTAAACAAATTTATCTGTTAAAGCTATGCACTTTTTAAGTCTGTGCTAAAGATGAAATAAATATGTACAAGTTTATATAAAACTTAAAAATTACACCGTAGTTTGGCTAAAATGACACAAAAAACGCGAGACACGTAAACTTAAATTTTGGGTTGTATATTACGGATCTGATACCATTTTTCTAGATCAGGTAATTTTTTGCAAGATATTCTTATTTGAAGTTAACATGGGGAATGAAAAAAAAATCTAACTTTAAGAGGGAAAAAATTTAAAAATAGCATATTCGTACATGGCGTATACGTAACATCATACAACAAATTTTAATGCTGGATTTACACTAGACATTAAATGGCAAAAATGACAAAGTTGGACATTAAAAAATAATCGTGTCATTACGTTAAAAAAATATTCATTAAATTCATTTCCACGTGACATTTTTTTAAATTGCATAAATTTTTTGTCATTTCAATGCCTAGTGGAAATTTGGCTAACGCATTTTCATTTGCCTATTCTCAATTTTTTTTTTTTTAAATTTATCCATCGACTTCTCTGACAAGCTATAAATTTTGGTTGCTACAAAAAATTATAACACTGTGCTGGGTACCAGGCCATTTTGGAATCGAAGGACCAGANTATTAAATTCAATTCCACGTGGCATTTTTTTAAATTGCATAAATTTTTTGTCATTTCAATGCCTAGTGGAAATTTGGCATAACGCATTTTCATTTGCCTATTCTCAATTTTTTTTTTAATTTATTCATCGATTTTCTTCGTTAGTAGCTTGATTTTTGTTTGTAAAAGAAGAGGCTTTAATGCAAATGACACAATTTAAAACTGTAATTTTCTTAGTTTTTTCTCTGTTAAAATTTGATTTTTTACTATAACTATACATAATTTCTGATATTAGAACTAAAAGGACCTGCTTTAGTAAAAAGTTCCAAATGAAAATCTCAGAAAGCGAGTATTGAATAAAACAGCTCCCCGCCCTTGATTCCAGATATGTACTGACGGTTTAAGGATGCGTGCTGTGTCCTCCGTGCAGGTATTTATGGATATGGTTCCTAGCTTGCGATTCCTCTGGGCAGATGGCCCAGACTTAAGTATTAGAAATCTTAACCTAAGCTAATTAAAGCTTGAAGAGGTTGTGGAGGCCACCATTATAGTTATATTTTAGTGATTAAAGACTGCCTTGACAAGTTATAAATTTTGGTAGGCACATAAAACATTACACTGTGCTGGGTACCAGGCCATTGTGGAATCGAAGGATAAGAGGTCGCTGACGACTTGGCACAGGAAGACTCGTTAACTGCCTTTTTGGAAACGGAACCATTCTGTGGCCTCAGATGGTCGTGTTCGAGAGCCATAATTACTTAGTCTTACTTTTCAGCACAGACGTTATTGTTTAATTTATTAGAAATGGCGTTAAGCTATTCTATGGGTACCTGACTCGTCACAGCCGATTGCAATTTTACATGCACCGATTGGATGTGGTCACAAAGTCAGAGTACTTCAACAACTAACTAACCCTTTGACCCTATAAATGGCTAGGTTGAAATAAATATAAAAAAATATCTTAGGTAATATTCCTTTAGTTTAGAATCTAATGCATGAACATCTTTAAAAGAACCCAATAAAGATTATCTTTAGCCAAGAAACCTGTTTTTTTTTACTTTAACTTAGATAAGAATTCAAACTAAGGAAAATACAAAATTATCCTAATATAAGGTAAATAAGTCTGCAGTTTTTTAAATATTTCATGATTCTTCTTTTGTATATACACCTTAATATATTATTGTTATGCCACCAATATATTTTTTCAGACAAACACACATATAATTTACCAACACAAGACGTTAAACACAATCACTATACATATGTATGTATCATATGCGCTAATGCAAATACTTGCGCTAATCTGAATATCACATTCATATGTATATTCATATTCTATAGACATGTGAATACAAATAACATACAAACATATTTTTGTACATAAGCTTAAGCAATCTTTGGTAATTAAAACTTTGATTTTAAAATCAAGGACATGCCCCTAAAAATATACCTGTTTTTTAGCCGTTCCATCAACTTCCTCCGGTATGGCATATGCACGTCCATTGGGCACAACTGGCGGTCCCTCAGATTTGCTTCGGCGTGATGGTGTACCACCACGTTCTTCAGACTGCGAAATAAAATAGATGAAGAAAAAACTTTATTAGGATCGAATAAGTTTATGTAAGTATTAATTTTTATTTATAAAAGATTGTTAACCAGAAACAAGGAGCGTATATTTATAGTAAATACTATCTTCAATTACATGAGCGGCATTTTCGGAATTATATAAAAAAGCCCTTCCCAAGTTTACCCATGGAAATATGTATTTATTTCTTTACACATGATTTAGCGCATCCTAAAGTACAACTGGTACGATGAGGAATGCCATCGGGCGCAGCGCGAGGAATGTGGGACCGCTATTGGGAACTAAAGAGGGAAGCGAGACGTATTTGCCGCAAAAAGTGCAAAGAGCTTTAAATGCTAGCCGGCAAGAAAAACGACCAAAAATTTTAACAGAGAGTTGGGGATTTGCGGAAGGTTTCAAGGCCAGGATGAACTCCTGTAAGAACAACAACGGTGACCTGGTGACCGATGTACAGAACATACTTAAATTATGGAGGGAATACTTTTGCACCCTATTGGACCCAGCAGTACTGAAAGGAGTGGAGAAGACGAACCAACCCGACCCCTGATGATGACAATGGAGTCGATTCCCGACCACCTGACTGTGGCGACGCGCGAATAGCGGCTAAAAAATAACAAAGCTGCTGGAGCTGACGCCATTACAGCCGAGGTATTCAAGTACGGCGGCGAGGAGCTGATAAGGTGCATGCATCAACTCTT